CAGATTTGGTGAGGCGATTGGCGTGAACTTGTTGTGCGTGTGTGGCTGGCTATTGGGGGGTTGCTGTGGTTATGTTTCCTCATAAACTGGGGATGGATACGCGAATATCGATCATCCGGTACTGCAAACGACCGTGGGATGTTCTGATTGGCATCATACGTCCGACAGCAGGCCATCATGAGCGTCTGGAGAAATGCATTGCCCAGTTGGAGGGCAAGCCAAACCCAAGGCTCCCGCCTGATGCCCGGTCTGAAACCCAAAGCAGACCGGGAGCCAGCACGTCCCAAGGAACTCGCAAACACCCCGCCCTCACGCTTTGCCGAGAGCCGCATGACGCCCACCACCGCGTGGAGGCATGTGTGGAGCAGTGTCCCGACTGCGGGACCCAGTTGTTCTGGGGTTTGGGCCAGCGCACTCGGAGGTGATCGACCTGCCGCAAGGTTCCAGGCGCAGGTAACCGAGCACGTTTACCTGACCCGCACTTGTCCCCGACTGCCGACGCTGCTGTGTTCCCAAAGCGCAACGTGGACGGCGTGTGATGGGCATCAGCGCTGGGGATCAACGTCATCAGCCTGATTGCGGTCCTGCGGGAGGAAGCCAGGCTGCCGTTGCTCACCATCCAGTGGCACCTGGATACGTGCATGGGCTGCAACTCAGCTGGGGGCCATCGTGGCGGCCACACAGCAAGTGGCTGGCAAGGCCCAACGGGTGGTGGCGGACATCCTGGAACGGTCCGAGGCAGTCCGGTGGTCCACGCCGATGAGACGGGTTGGCGACAGGATGGACACCAACGGCTACGTGGGACTTTCAGCAGCACCCCCAACCTGCGGTACTTCCTGCGACGGAACCGGGGGCAGGCGAGTAGTGGACGAGGTTTTTGGGCGACGATTTCGCCGGTGTGCTGGTCAGCGACTTATACGCGCCTACCACCACTATGCGGGTCCCAAACAACGCTGCTGGGCCACCTGCTGCGGGACATCCCACGACCTGCGATCACTAACCAGATGATGGATCGCTGTCCCAGTGGGCTGACGCCGTCCACCAACTCTACCGTCAGGCCACGGCTGTACCCACCCAGCAGAGCAACAACGCCGCACCGCCAAAATGGCCCTGGAAAGACGATTGCTGGTCCTCTGGCCGGCCCTACCTGGATGACCCGTCAGCCGCCAAGCCAGCTGTGCCGACGCATGAGAAACACATCAAAGAACTCTTCGTCTTCGTGGTCGACCGGACGGTACGGTGCGCGGACAACAACCTGCCGCCTCGAGCGACAGCCTGCGCCATCTGGTGGTCAGCCGCAATGGTCAGTGGGGGCAGCCCACGCTCGGACGTCGGTGTTACTGCCACCAAGATGACGCTGGCGTCACTCTTCGCACCTGGCGGGCAAACATAGGTGCTCAACACCCTCAACGCCTGCCGTCAACTCACTCGCAGTTCCCTCAAGTCGTGACCAGATTACGGGTGCACGACGGGGCACGGGGTATCTGCTGCAGGAGGCGCTTATATGGCGATGTAGAATGTGCAGAGTGGCAACGACGGACGAGGTTGTTGGAAAGGTTGTCCAGGTGCCGGCTTCCGCAGCAGGCACATGACGCACATGGGGATGGACGGCACGCCTGGTCGCAATCGTCCTGATACGGCACGGGGTGGGGCTGTGGCCAAGGGGATGGGCCCAGCGCGCCACAGCGCCTCCGTGTCGGGAGGCTGTCGTCTCAGCCGGCGGGCGAAAGCATCGTGGTCCGGGGCTTCCGGCGCTGCCGGTTGACAACGCGCCGCCTCGGTACAGGTGAAAACGTCCTCGACTGCCGCCACCAAAAAACTGAATGCGTGAGTCACCCACTTCATCACACCGCGCCGCGTTCATGCCCCTGCGCCAACCCTGGACCCAACTGATGGTCCACCATGTACTCGATCCGTCGGCGCTTCCCTGAATCACCCGCTACAACTGAGTAACTCCGATGTCGTTTTAGAGAGATCGAATGAGCCTCAGCCGGCACGGCAACGCGCACCCGGTACCGCAATGAACCGCGACGGGTTGCAGCGCTACGGTTGGACCCACTCCTGCCGTTCCGAGGAGCCGGGACGCATAAAAAGAGCGGGGACGATGGCGGCCATGGCGACGAATCCGGCGGCCCGATAAAACTTGTGGAACAAGTCGAGGCTGGCCATCCGCAAGAACCGCTGGTACTCGGCAAACTCCTGGGCTCGAACGTCGGCGTCCAGGCCGGGCACGGTGAGAGGAGACGGCGTTTCGATCAATATTGCGAGCATCTGATTGATGCCCCAGGCGGACAGCACGGCGAGCCCCAGGGTCATCCCCAGCATACGGGCCACGACAATCGTGGAGGCAGCCACGGCCCGATAGTCAGCAGGCGCGGCGGCAACGGCCCGATGCATCAGCGGAGCAACCACCAGGCCAAAACCTGAGCCGGCCACAACCAGATCAACGGTCAGCTGGGGCTCGGAAATCTCGATCTCCCATGCGGCCAGGCGAAACATCCCGACAGCGATCAGCCCCAAGCCGAGGACGGTGATGGTGCGCGCATCTAACCGCTGCAAGAGCAGGCCTCCCAGTATCGCAAACAGCGGGATTGTGGCGGTCATCCGGAGCAGCCACAGTGCCGCGGTGAAAGAGTCGACGGGACGATCCGGCAAGTTCATCACGGTGTTGGCCATGATAACGATGCTAGCCATAGCGAGAATCAGGGCAACGCCGACCAGCAGTTGTACGAGGTTGGCCAGCAGGAAAGCGCGGGCTCGCAAAAGAATTGGGGACAAGAGCGGTTGCTCCGCGTTCCGGTGGACCACAACCAGAGCAACGATACCCAAGGAGCATCCTGCCAGAAGCCACCATGGCGTCCACGAGGAAAGCTCAAACAGGCCGTCGTGCGCAACCGCCAAACACAGCAAAATCAGTGTGATGGTCAGAAGTGCGCCCCCAAAGTAGTCCATTCGGGCGCCTTCGTATCGCCGGTCGGGAAGGAACAGGAGGGCGGCGGCGATGGCGGCGGCCTGGGGTATGTTGAGCCAGAATATGGCACGCCAGCCCCAGAGCTCGACTACGGCTCCGCCGTATGCCGGGCCGAGCATGCTTCCGGCCTCGGCAGCGCCGGCCACGACGCCGAGGGCCAGACCGCGTTGGCTCGAGGGTACCAGACCGGCGGCGATGGCCAGGCTCACCGGCACGGCGCCGCCGCCCCCGATGGCCTGGATCACGCGAGCGGCGACTACCTGGTCGAGCGGCTCCACGCTACCGTTGAGCCACGACCACTGCCCGGCGAGGGCGACGAGCGTCGTACCGATTGTGAAGACAACCAAGGACAGCAGATAGACGCGGCGGTAACCGTGGACGTCGGCCAGCCTACCGAGCAACGGCATGGCTACGGTGTAACCCAGGAGATAGGCGGTTATCACCCAGATCACCGATTCGAACCGGAGGATCGGAATCTTGAGATCGGCCATGATCGCGGGCAGCGCGGTGATCACCACCGTCTGGTCCAGAGCCGTGACGAATGTGCCCGCAGCGACCGCGGCCACCAGAGCCCACGGCGACAACCGACGCTGGGTCAACCTAGCGTGCATTAGTGCTGCCAGCCCGGTCGCCGGGGAGCTAGCCGCCGGACAGGTCGATGAACTGTTCCGGAGGAGTAATGGTGACCGCCTCTCCGATCCCAGAAAAGCGGATCGTGCGGCTGGTATCGGGGGCGTCGAACTCGCCGACCGCTCCCACGGTGGTTATACGCCGCAACAGTTTTCGGTCGGTGTCGGTCCACACCTCGATCTGCAGGGACTGGCCCGCAGAAGCGGTGACGGGGAGCCATTCCATGGAAGATGCCGGTACAATCCCGCTGATCCTGTAGGTTGCAACCCCTTCGGTCGCCTCCTCACCCACCAGAACCGGGTTTTCCACCTGGGCTACCAAGTCCGCGACGATATGCTGGAGGCGAGTCACCTCTACCGGGGACGACCGGGCAGGCTGCTTGAGCCAAACTCCTGATATTGGTTCCGTGGCAAAGTATCCCACGGGTGTGACGTAAGCGCGCAATTGCACGTAGGAGCCGGACAGTGGCTCGATTTCCGGGCCATTTACCAGATAGGCATCGATGGACAGTTCCGCCCCGGCGGCGGCGTCCCAAGTACCGGAAATTTCCGTAATCTTTGCACCGAAGGCTGGCAAGTACACGCTTCCGGCTTCGTGGGTCAACTGGAACCGAGCTGACTGTACGGTCCGCAGGTTTTCGGCAGTTTCCGCCAACAACGTCGCGGGGTCGGGAACAGGCGTGGGCGTGGGCATTGCCGGGGCCGGGGTTTGCCCCAAACAAGCCGCCCCAGTCAAGATCATTGCGACGAACGCGATCAGAGACAGCCGGACCCCAACGTTTGTCAGCGCGTTGACCAAACCGCCATGCTGCCGTTGGCAATATCGCGCAGTTCTCCGCCTTCGCCAGTCTCCACGACGTACACCCGGGACCCGCCTCCGCTGCTGCCGTTGCGCCGTTCAGACAGGTATTGTTGCGTGCCGGCCACGACCAGGGCCGACCCGTCCGGCGCCCAGGGCGAATGGCTGCGGGCGTACTGGTCGAAGAAGGCCAGCATCAAGAAGGTTTCGCCGCTGGGCGAAAAACGGAACCCTCCAAGCGCGCTATCCTCCGCGTCGCCGGCAGAGGCGGAGTCCAACCCGGGAATGACCCGCCACTCCATGGTCCGTTCTTCCGGGTTCAGGGCAACCCAGGCCAGGCGGTCCCCGTTGGGTTCCCAGAAAAAGCCGAGCACCCAATCATCCTCTTTGACGACGCGTTCCGTGCTGCCATCGGCGGCCAAAAGGCGCAGCCGACGATATGCGGGAGAGCCCGCGATTTGACGATCCGCCACGGCAATAACCGCGCCGTCGGACGACCACAGGAAAGCGGATGCACCCTCTACCTCGGCCAGCCGCAGGGGCGCAGCGTCGAGTTGGTCGGGCTGTCCCAACCATAGCGCCTCGCCGTCCCCTCCCGGGGCAGACCAAGCCAATCGGGTCCCGTCCGGGGACCAAGCCGGGGTTCGGAAGGAACGAGAGCGAGCCAATGGCTGGGTGGAGAACTGTTGCGTCTCCTGGTCCAGCCGAACCAGCAGAACGTCCTCGTTACTGTGGACTGCCAGTGCAGCGCTATCCGGCGACCAATCGAAATAGAGGGGCCCGCCCCTCAGCACAACCAACTGAGCGTTCTGCGTGGCGGACTCCGGCGTGGGCATGGCGTCTACCACGAACAGGGTCAGGCCTTCAGGGGTCGCGGCGGTGACACCCAATTTTCGTCCGTCAGGGGACCACTGCGCGTAGTGGGGAGTCCCGTCCGCGATGGTCAACGGAGCTTCGTTGACGAATGCCGCTCCGCCGACCCCGGTGGACGATTCCAGCGAGTGGAGACTGACATGGGCATCGGCCGGAGAGTCGCCGCGGAGGAGCGAGACCGCGATACGGGAGGCGTCCGGGGACCACAGGGGCCAACTGTATATCAGGTCGCTTCGCTGAGGCTGGGCCAGGATGCCACCGGAGCGAGCCACGGCGCCAGCGGTCAGCAGGTTGCGGGCTGAACCGTCAGGGTTGGAAGTGACCAGTTGGCCATCGGGATCGATGTATGCGATGCGGTTTACAGACATAGGGCTTTCGTTATTTGCGGTGCGGCTCGGATTGGAGGAGCAGGCTACCGTGGCCAGCAGCGCCGCGATGACGACGACCAGGATCGTCAGACGCCGGCGAGTGGGAGCCGGCACCCACGGTGCCGTCCGACCCGTCGGCCACGGGATTCTTCGCGCGCGCACGTGGGCAACGGTAGCATTCAACATCCCAATAAGCAACGGAAGGATTGCGGCACGGTCCAACCCCACCGCGAGTCATGCAGCGACGGAATGCTGAACCATAGGTGGGGGGCTTCGGATAGTAAGCCACCAGCACACCAACTGTGGTTTAATGCCGGGTGACCGGTCGCTCGCGGTACGGCAAATTTTGGGCGGATCAAGACACAGACGATGACAGTCCACAGCAACTCACCTGCTGGCCGGGTGATAATGGTCCAGGGTACCGCGTCCCACGTTGGCAAGAGCGTGTTGGTATCGGCGCTGTGCCGCATCTTCCGCCAGGACGGGCTGCGTGTTGCGCCGTTCAAGGCGCAGAACATGTCCAACAACTCATACGTCACCCCTGACGGTGGCGAAATCGGTCGCGCTCAGGCCGTTCAGGCCGAGGCTGCCGGTGTTGAAGCGCGCGTGGAAATGAACCCCGTCCTGCTCAAACCGGAAGCGGACAGTCACGCCCAAGTGGTGTTGATGGGGCGTCCGCTAACCTCCGCCCGGGCGCGTGACTATTTTGACCTGAAAGCCACCCTCTGGGAATCGGTAGCCAGTTCCCTGGACCTCCTCCGGAGCCAGCACGACGTGGTGGTCATCGAAGGGGCGGGCAGCCCGGCAGAGATCAACCTGAAGGCGACCGAAATCGTCAATATGCGCGTCGCGCTTCACGCCACCGCACCGGTACTGCTCTGCGGCGACATTGACCGGGGCGGGGTGTTCGCGTCGTTGGTGGGCACATTGCAACTCCTGGACGAAGTGGAGCGGGACCGGGTCAAAGGACTGCTGATCAACAAGTTCCGCGGCGACGCGTCGCTGCTGACCGACGGTCTGACTTGGCTGGAAAACTACACGGGCAAACCGGTGGCCGGGGTCATCCATCACTTCCGGGACATCCACATTCCCGAAGAGGATTCGGTGGCGCTGGACTTCACACCACCGCACGCCTCTTCACCCGACGTTTTAGATGTCGCAGTGGTCCAGGTCCCGCACATCTCAAACTTCGACGACTTCGACCCCCTGGCGCGGGAGCCGGGGGTGTCGCTGCGGTACGTGCAGAGCGGCGACCGGCTGGGTCAGCCGGACTGGTGATACTGCCGGGGAGCAAGACGACCATCCCCGACCTGATGTGGATGGAGCGACAGGGGTTGTCCCAGGCCGTGGTGAGAGCCATCGACCACGGTTCCGCAGTCATCGGCATTTGCGGCGGATACCAGATGTTGGGGAAGACCCTGTTGGACCCGGACCGCATCGAGTCTGACATCGGAGCGGCGGACGGTTTGGGCCTGCTTCCCCTGATAACCACGTTCGCCGGAACCAAAGAGACCCACCGGGTGGAGGCGACCGTGCGGCAAGAGGCGTCTGCGCCCGGGCACCTGATGTCCGGCGCCGTTGGAGAGCCGGTGATTGGGTACGAGATACACATGGGGCAAACTTCGGGGGAGGGTGTCATACCCGCGTTCAACGTGGTCGACCGGGCCGACGCGGCCGTCACGTCAGCGACGGCGTTTGACGGCGCCCTGGATGCCAATGGGCGCGTGATGGGAACGTACATCCACGGACTGTTTCACAACGCCGGCGTTCGGCGCGCGATCCTGGGAGAACTGGCACGCCGCAAAGGCGTTGGCCTGCCGGAAGGCGTGGATGTGACCCGCGACCGCGAGTATGACCGGCTCGCCGACTGGGTACGCGACAGCCTGAGAATGGACCTGATCTACGACATGGTTGGGATGACGCCAGCGCTATGAGCTCGATACATCTGGTATTGGGCGGCATACGTTCGGGGAAAAGCGCGTACGCGGAACGGTTAGCAGCTGAGATCGCCGGATGTGAGCCGGTGCTGTACGTGGCGACCGGTGTTGCGGTAGATCGGGAGATGGAGGAGCGCATCCAGCGACACCAAGAGCGTCGTCCCTCTAACTGGCACACCCTGGAGGCGCCGCTCAACCCGGTGGGCGGGCTGCAGGGTCAGACGGCCCGACCTCGCATCCTGTTGCTCGACTCCGTGGACGTATGGGTGTCCAATCTGATGTTGGAACACGAGGGTACCTCGCGCCTGGAGTTGGAGGCACGAATTGTGGGCGCGGTGCGGCGGTTTGTGGCATGCGTGCAGGAGAGCGATGGCGAAGCGGTGATAGTCAGCAGCGAAGTCGGGCACTCGTTGATAGCCACGTCACCAATGGGCCGCCAGTTCCAGGATCTGCTGGGCACGGTAAACCAGGCAGTGGCAGAGGCGGCGGACAAGGTCACGATGGTTATCGCGGGGTTGCCGGTTCCGATCAAGCCCCTGGGGACCTTTCCCTAGCCGGCTGTCGGTGCGGGCAGGGCAACACGCTGGCGCGATGGCTGACGAGACGCTGGGAACGGCCTCGGCTCTGGCCCCGGGGACCTGCGGCGAACTGGTGCAGGGAATGACGGACGGGGTTGGACTTTCCTGGTCACCTGCCCAATCAACCAGTTTTCGCGGGCGACGGTGACGTTGACGGTTTCTTGCGGCACGTCACCTGACGATTGCGTGCGAGGGATCGACCATCTCCCGAAAACCCGGCAGGCGGTGGCTGCCGCGCTGGAACGGCTGCGACATTGCCTGCCTGCTTCGGCTCTGGTAGCGGATGTCGCGGTGGCCAATCCCATCCCGGCGGGCAAGGGCATGGGGAGCAGCAGCGCCGACATCACCGCCGCGGTGAGCGCCACCGGCAAAGCCGCGGGCGTCCATTTTTCGCCGGACACCATTGCAAAAATCGCCCTGGCGGTGGAACCGACCGACGGGGTGATGTTTCCCGGCATCGCGATGTTCGATCATCGCCGGGGCAAAGTCGTCGATCTGTTGGGCGATCCCCCGCCGATGGAAGTGATAGTCATTGACCGGGGCGGGCAGGTGGACACCTTGGAGTTCAACCGGGTCGATCGCGGGGAGCATTGGCTTTCGGTCACCGACGCGACGAATGAGGCTCTGGAACTGGTGCGAGAGGGTATCCGTCGCAGCGACCCGGATCTGGTGGGACGCGGCGCTACCATCAGCGCACACGCTGGACGACCAGACGCCGCCGCTCCCTGGGTGGAACAGGCATCGCATTTTGCAGCGGAAATCGGCGCGGTGGGTGTAAACGTGGCCCACAGCGGGACCGTGGTAGGGGTCTTGCTGAACGCTCGAAAGCGGCAGAGCAAGCCGGCGTACCGGGCGGCACAACGGGAGTTTGCGGCCGCGGCGAGCGTGCAGCACTTTCGGATTATTGGCGGGGGAGCTGCGGGCAGGTTGATCTGGAAAAACCCAGGTCTTGCCCTATTTGGGCTGGTCACAAAACATTAACTGACCAGCGTAGCCCGCGAATTGGCCGAAATGCTGTTGCGCCCAAGCACTGATAGCAGCATTGGTTTTTGGAGCCGAAGGGTAGTTTCTGGCCACAGCTTTTCTTATGTGTGTGTCCACGGGGAATGACCCTAATTTGTCCAAAGACATTAGAGCAACGCAATCCGCTATCTTGAGACCCACTCCGTTCGGCACAGTGCGACCATTTCTGGGACCTTCCATCAACGTGAACAAAACTGCCGAATATGATTGCGGCCTCAACGCTTGAAAATCGAGTTCGTCGTCTCGAACGCGCTTTGCGGCGTCGGCGATTGCTTTCGGAAAACTAGCACTGAATCGTCCGGCGAGGTCAAGCCCCAACATGTGGGAGACGCCGACCTCCAGGATGCGCCGCGACGATGGGAACACAAACCGACGGTCGTTGTCGAGTTGTACGTCCAACCCGCTCAATGGTGATATCTCGCCAATACATCGACGAATGTTCGGGATACGATTACTCTTCGAGCAGATATACGATACCAAGCACTCCAACGGGTCCTGACGTAGCAAACGCATACCGCCGTACGATTCGACCAACCTGGCAATGTGACCGTCGCGGCTACCAAGATCAGCGTAGATTTGTGCGACGTCGTCGTCCAACATGAAGTAGCTCCGCAACAAGTTCAAACCGACCAACCCCCCCCACCCCCCACCCCCACCCCCCACCCCCCCCCCCCCCCCGTTCTTCGCCGTCCGCTTCAACTTCTTCGCGGGCCGATTCAGCGAGCTGCGTCGAGCGATACTCGACGGCTGAACCAACTTGACGCAAATGGACCAAACGTCTACCAAGGACACCGGAGTGCCAATTGCTATCGAGAAGACGGCCGCTATCCTCCAGTTTGTCTACGCTTCTATCTAGCCTGCGCCAGCGAAAAGCTTGTCCCATATATAAAGTCAGCCTGAGGCTGAACGGCTCTGGAATTTCCAATTGACCTTCAACGATGTGCATATGGGCGTCCTCCAATCAGAGAGTTAAACGGCGTGCGGCGTCCAAGGAGGCTGGCACGCAACCGTCAACGACCCTCGCGGCGGCGGGCGTGGAATAGGTACTGTTGAGAGTAACCGGCGTATTGCCCGAAGTGCTCCTGGGCCCACTCGACCAATGCCTTGTCCGGCGGCTTCTTTTGCATGGGGAAATACCATTCGGCCAGGGCGCGGCGTACCCAGACATCGACCGGGAACGCTTCCAGCTTTTCCAAGGAGAACACCGCAATGCAGTCGGCGATCTTGGCGCCGATGCCGTAGCACTCCATCAGCTTGGACTTGGTTTCCGGGTAGGGCAGTCGGACCAGTTCGTCCAGGTCAAGCTCGCCGTCGCAGACCCTTCGAGCCGCCGCCACGACGTATGGAGCGCGAAACCCCAGGCCCAATTCCCGGAGAAAACCTTCCCCCGCGGACGCCAACTGCTCGGCGGACGCGAAAGTGTGTCGAACCTCTCCGTCCAGTTCTAGCGGGCTCCCGAGGCTGTCCGCCATAGCCTCCATGTTCTGGTGTATGCGGGGGATGTTCGACGTGGCGGAGCAGATGAACGCGACCGTGCACTCCCACGGAGCCTGGCGCAGGATACGGAGGCCCGGATAGCGGGACACCGTTTCCGATACTCGCCGGTCGCGGCAAATATCGGCGTATATCGCGCCGATGTCGTCGTCGAGACGGAAATAGGAACGCAGCAGGCCGGCCAGGGCTTCCGGGTCCGCAGCGGCGTCGGCGACGCGATACTCCACTCCATTGGATTTCTGCCGGATGTGGATCAGGCAGGGACCCAATACGCCGGAATACCAGCCGTCGCCCAGATCTTTCCAGCGATGGGCCTGCCCGCTTTCGAGGCTCTCGGCCAGGTCGAAGGGCTGATCTATGGTCAGTTGCACAGTCCGTTCCAGCTCCGCTAAACCCGCGCCCTCACACGGTCGTGTTGCTCAGCCGGAAGCCGGGCGATCGAGTTGCAGCCAGCGGGCCGCTTGGTCGCCGACGCTGCTGACGCTGGATCGTTCCACCGTGCAGGGGGGCAGTGCATTGAGGAAGCGGTCGCCGTAGTTGGCCGTCTGGATCCGCCGGTCCAGGATGACCACCGCGCCCCGGTCCACCTTGTTGCGGATGAGCCGGCCGAAACCCTGCCGGAAACGAAGCACCGCGGAAGGTACCTGATACTCGTTGAACGGGTTGTTGAACAGGTTGCCCCTGGCTTTCACGATCGGGTCCGTAGGCACCGGGAAGGGCAGGCGACACAATAGCAGCCCACGCAGAACACCGGACTCCATGTCCACCCCTTCCCAGAAACTGGCGGTGCCGAGCAGGACAGCGCGCGGGTCGGCGTGCAGCCGGTCGACCAGCTGTCGCGGGGTACCGTCAATTCCCTGAGCGAGGACGTTGATGCCCGACGCGCGCAACGGTCCCCTAACCTGGAACGAAGCTTCTCTCAAGGCGTTGTGCGAAGTGAACAGCGCCATCAGGTGACCGTCCAATGACTGCGCCATATTGAGGATCACCTGGGCAGTGCCCCGGGAGTGCTCCGCACCGCGACGGGGATCCGGCAGGTCGTCCGGCACCAGGAGCAGGGTGTTGCGCTGATAGTTGAACGGGCTGTCTACCAGGAGCTCGTCACAATCGTCAGGGAACCCCACGCGCTGGCGTAGGAAACCGAAATTGTTGTCCGTGGCCAGGGTGGCGCTGGTGAGAACCACGGTCTCCTTCTGCTGAAACAGCATTTCAGACAGAATAGGGCCCACGGAAAGCGGGGTGGAGTGCAGCGTGATGTTGCGCCGCACCATATCAATCCACTGGATTTGTTCTTCATCGTACCGGCCGAAGACCGAAGCCAACCGATCATTCAACTCAGAGATCCCGTCGACGGCGCTGACGAGTTCGTTTCCCTGGCTGTCATCGGGAAGATCGAATATCCCCTGGTCGATGAACTTCCCGACATCTTTGAGACGGTTGATGCTCTCAGACATGAACGTCGAGAAAGATTCCCATTCGAGGACAGCGGATCCCCATTCCCGGCTTTGCCGCACTGGGAGTTCCAGGGATACCGGCTGGCGATCGTTTTCTCCCCTACTGTTGGATTGATAAAGGCGCGTGATGTTGCCCCACAGCTGTTGCCACGCCTGCAAGGCCTGGTTGCAGCTGGCCGTCGCGTTGGTGAGGCCATCGCGGGCTCGTCCGAGATTTTCGTCCTGCGGCGACTGGCCGGCAATGGCAGTCAGTTGTCGGAACAGGCGGTAGACGCTGTCAAATTCCTGCGGCAGGACGTCCTCGGCTATTTCAAAGCCCAGCTGGCGGCTTGCCTCCTCCTCCAGGTGGTGCGCTTCGTCGACGATGAGATGTTGGTAATTCTGGAGAACGGTTCCGCCAACCGCCAAATCGGCCAGCAGCAGGGCGTGGTTCACCACGAGGATGTTGGCCGCTTCGGCTCGTTGCCTGGCCTGGCGAAGGAAGCAGGGGGCTCCGCCACGGAATGACTGGCAAACGCCCTGGTTATCGGCGCACATCCGCAACCAAGCGCGCTGGTCGCCGAAGCTCAGATTGAGGTCGGTTCGATCACCATCATCGGTGTCGTCCAACCAAACCGCGGTTTTGCCGAGCACCCGGGCCTCATCTTCGTTCAGAGTGTCGGAAGTGCCCAGGCTCGTCCAACGGCGCAAGCACACGTAGTTGGAACGGCCTTTGAGTTGCGCGGCGCGAACCGCTCCCGGCTCCAGGATGCCGGCCTCTTCCAGGATAGACACCACCGCAGGGATATCCTTGTCCATCAGTTGCTCCTGCAGACTGATGGTGTTGGTGGAAATCACTACGCGGTGACCGTGAGTGGCTGAGTAAAGAACCGCCGGGAGCAGGTACGCGATGCTCTTGCCGATCCCAGTACCGCCTTCGACGATAAGCTTTCGGCCCTGGTAGATGGCGCGGGTGACCGCTTTCAGCATCTCGGCTTGCTGGGGCCGATTCTCAAAACCGGGGAAAGAGCTGGCGAACACCCCGTGGGGGGCCAGGAGGTCCTCTACCTGCTGCTCGGTAAGTTCACGGCGCACGGCGCTGCCGGATTGGTCACCGGTATCGCCCGAAAGCCGCTTGGCCAAGCTGTCAAGATTCAACCCGTTGAGTCCGACTGCGCCGGGAGTTCCGGTCGCCGCGTTGGCGCCGGCGGCGTGGGGAACGAGGGCTTCCAGCAAGTCCGCGACTGGGGCGTTGGCCGCGCGGGCGGCGCGAGCTATGTAGCCAACTTTTGGCGCGGGATGGGTCGCAGCCATTCCCAGCAGGCGGTGGAAAACCAGGGCAGTTGTTTCGGCGTCGGCCACGGCACGGTGAGCCTGGCTGTGGTCAAGCTCGAGGTGCTTCGCCAGGGCGCTCAGATTGTATTCAGGCAGGGTGGGCAGGAATATCGAGGCCAGGTCCCAGGTGTTGTAGCTAGGGTTGGTCAGGTGCAATCCGTGGGATGACAGGAAAGAGATATCGAAGGCGATGTTGTGCCCGACTATGGGCAGGTCGCCGACGAACGTAGCGAACTGCGCCGCGATCTGTTGAAATCGGGGCGCCCGCTCGATTTGGGACGGGCTGATGGACGTGAGCTGCTGGATGAACGTGGGAATCTGGCGGTCGGGGTTTACGAACGTTTGGTACCGTTCGGTAACCTGTCCACCCCTGAACTTGACTGCGCCCACCTCGATAATGGCATCGGCGTGCGCATTCAGGCCGGTGGTCTCCAGGTCGACGGATACGAATTCGCGCTCGAAAATATCACTTTGAGGCAACAGCGTCGGGGTCATCGCAATGCACTACCCTCTGGGTTGGGAACGTGACTAAGACGAGCGCAACTGATACGGGCGCAGCGATCCCTGCCGGAGCCCTTCCAAAGGGCGAAAGTCTCCCGAGTGAAGCGCGGACAGGAATTGAGCCTCGTCGAAGATTTCGTCAGGAAACTCGGTAACGAATTTACCCAATCCGTGGGTGCTGTGAGCGTCGCTGCCTCCGGTCACGGGAAGGTTCAGCAGGTGGGCGACCTCGGCGGCAAACCGGTTTTCGTCGTCCGACGTGCCGCCGTTGGCGACCTCGATGGCGTCGGCGAGTTGGAACACCGGATGTGTCATCGCCGAATCGGGGTCCTGCGGGATTGGCTCGTGAGGATCGGGATAGAGGTAGGGGCGGGTCCGGTGGTGTTGACCCAAGACCCCGCGGAAGGGGTGGGCAGATACTACGAAACCACCGGCAGCGTGGGCGGCCTTGCTCAACTCCTCGGCGCGATGGAACCCGCTCTGGTACCGGTCCACCCCGAAAGCGAGGATGTGCCCCATGTCGGTGTCCGCTTCCATGGCGCGGATGAGCACGACATTATGCTTGGAGGCGAAGGCGGAAAACTCGTGCCGGTCCCAGGGACCGGCGTGCTCGGTGATGCACAGGCCGCGCAATCCCAAACGTTCTGCCTCAAGGATGAGATCTTCGGGCGATAGGCTGGAATCTGCGCTGCCTTTGGTCGTATGAATGTGTAAGTCGAAAATGCGTGACATAAGCCCTACCAGTCTATGCGTAGCCTGAAACGGCGTCAACGTTGCGGCGCCGTTCCGAGGTGATGTCCCTCTCGAGGTGATGCCCCTCTGATAGAATGCGGGCGAATCCCTCGCTGGAGGGCCGATATTTCCAGGAGATGACAGAGATGGCAAAAGTAGGCTTCATAGGTCTCGGAACAATGGGCGCAAGCATGGCGTACAACTGCCTGCGTGGCGGGAACGAGATGGTGGTCCACGACATCCGGCGCGAGGCCGCAACCCAACATTTGGAAGCGGGGGCGCAATGGGCAAACAATCCCCGCGAGGTAGCCGAGGCAACCGACGTAGTGTTCACCTCCCTGCCGGGTCCGGTGGAGGTTGAAGCCGTGTCACTGGGCGAAGACGGCATCATGTCGGGCATGTCCGCGGACAAGACGTATTTCGACCTCAGCACCAGTTCGCCCACGCTGATACGGGAGATCCACGATCGGGCAGCAGCACAGGGGATCAACGTGCTGGACGCCCCGGTGAGTGGAGGTCCGGCCGGCGCCGCGAGTGGCCGGCTGGCCATCTGGGTCGGCGGGGACAAAGCGGTTTTCGACCGACACAAAGCGGTGCTGGATTCCATCGGTGACGCCGCCTACTACGTGGGTCCCATCGGCAGCGGAGCCGTCGCCAAATTGGTGCACAATTGCGCCGGTTACATTGTCCAGACAGCGCTGGCGGAGGTATTCACGATGGGCATCAAAGCCGGGGTTGACCCCCTGGCGTTGTGGCTCGCCGTGCGCAAGGGAGCCGGCGGACGTCGGGGGATGTTCGAGGGGCTGGCCCAGCACTTCCTGATCAATGACTACGATCCGCCGGACTTCGCGTTGCGGCTGGCGCGGAAGGACGTGGACCTCGCGGTAGCGGTCGGTCGCGAGTTCGACGTGCCGATGAAACTGGCGAACACCACGCTGGCCGAGATGACCGAAGCCATCAACCGAGGTTGGGCCGGTCGCGACTCAAGGGTGGCAATGCTCCTGCAGGAAGAGCGGGCGGGCGTCGAAGTCCAGGTTGATCCGGAGGATCTCCGCCGCGCCCTGGAAGAGCAGGGCGGCTAATCGGTTCGGGGTAGCCGTCAACCACAGAGGCCGACCTTCAGTCGAAGGTCGGCCTTGTTTATCGAGGTTTGCTTGCGGGTCAGGATGTTTGCGGGTTTCTGATCGATAGTCTATCGATGGGCGATACGGACGCGTGGAGTTAGTCTGCAACCGCTTCCCAGCGCAACACGGGGCGGCGGGCCGCCGTCGCCTCGTCAAGCCGGGAGACCGGCGTGGAATGGGGGGCGTGCTGGACCAATTCGGGTTCGGCGGTTGCCTCCGCGTCGATGGCCCGCAGGGCGTCTATGAACGCGTCGAGCGTTTCCTTGGTTTCCGATTCGGTCGGCTCGATCATCAAGGCTTCGTGAACGATCAGCGGGAAGTACATCGTCGGGGCGTGGAAACCGTAGTCAAGCAGCCGCTTCGCCACCTCCAAACCGCTGACACCCCGCTCTCGCTGGCGGTCGGCCGAGAAGACCACTTCGTGCATGCACGTGCGGTCGTAGGGTAGTTCATAAATGTCCTTGAGCGACTCCATGATGTAGTTGGCATTGAGTACGGCGTTGCCACTGATGGAAAGCAATCCGGCGGCGCCCAGCGTGCGGATGTAAGTGTAGGCGCGAACCAAGACGCCAAAGTTGCCGTGGAATCCGCTGATCTTGCCGATGCTTTGCCCGGGCTCGGAGAGCGAGTATTCACCGTTGTCGTTCACCGTCACCACCGGGGCGGCCAGATAAGGAGCAAGGTTCTCGACGCAGCATACGGGCCGGCGCCCGGTCCGCCGCCGCCGTGAGGGGTGCTGAAGGTCTTGTGGAGGTTCAGATGGCAGACATCGAACCCCAACTGGCCGAGCTTGGCGCGCCCGAGCAACGCGTTCATGTTCGCGCCGTCGCCGTAAACCAGGCCGCCGCATTCGTGGACGATCCGGCACACTTCCAGGATGTTGGTGTCGAACAGCCCCAGCGTGCTCGGGAGGGTTATCATCACGCCGGCGAGGTCGTCCCCGGCAAGTTCCTGCAAGGCGGCGAGGTCGGTGTTGCCGTCGGCATCCGACGGGATGGTAACGACGTCGAAGCCGGCCATCGCCGCGGAGGCAGGGTTGGTGCCGTGGGCGCTGTCGGGGATACCCATCCTGGTGCGGCCGGAATCGCCGCGCGCCAGGTGGTACGCCCGCATCATGAGAACGCCGCCCAGTTCGCCATGAGCGCCGGCGAGAGTTGCCAGGCTGGTTGTGGCCATGCCGGTGACCTCGGTGAGGAAGTCCTGCAACCGATAGAGCAGTTCCAACGCCCCCTGGGATTGCTCGGCCGGCTGCTGCGGATGGATTCCGGCGAATCCGGGAAGGAACGCGACTTCATCGTTCACCTTGGGGTTGTACTTCATCGTGCACGAACCCAACGGGTAAAAGTGGGTGTCGATACTGAAGTTCAGTTGGCTCAGTGCGGTGAAATACTGGACCACCTCGGGCTCCGAAACTTCGGGGAGCGGGAGATCGTCGCGAAGGTAGGCCGCATCCGGCAGGGGAGCGGCGGGCACGTCCAAGCCGGGTGTAACCACCCCAACTCGGCCCGGCACGCTGCGATCCATAAGCAGCCTCTTGGTGTCTCGGTTGCCGCCTTTATTCAACATCGTAGGTTGTCTCCTTGCGTCATGGCCGCTCCGTTTCGCCCTCACCCGAATGACTGGATTGCGGGCACGGAACCGCCACTACACAGTTTATTCAGTTTCTCCGGTGGGCCAAACCTACCCTCGCGGAGAGGGCTTCACCCATCGGTTTGCAAACGACAAAATCCGGCTGCCCCGCCAACTCCAGACGGCGGTGGCGGCTACGACGGTGATCACACTCGCGACGAAGGCCGCCGTGCCTCCCCAAGGGAACAGCAACGTGGTCCCGAAAAGCGCGAACAGCGCCAACATGGCAACCAGCCAAAACAGGACGCGCCAAAAAACGCGCCGGTTGAGTCTACGGTCCGATTCGCGGACGATTGCCTCGACCTCTTCAGGTGTCGCGTCGTCCCAACGAGCGATTTGGGCGTTCATGTTGCGGATATGGCGCCTCACGGCGATGGAACCGCAAATGAACATGCTGCAGGCCGTGAGACTCATCAGTACGATACAGGTCAGGAACCCGATCTCGAACCATAGCACGCCGGTGGGGAGCCAAGACACGCGACCATCCAGCAGCGACTTGGCGACCAAAAGAGCCACCATGATGCCAGCCAGGGTGAGACCAACCACGAACAAAGTGCGTTCTTTGCACCGCAGACCCAACCATCTGACGTAAACGTCTCGGTCGGAGGCCGCCCCTTCCTCTCCGAAGGGATCCGCATAGCGCCGCGTCCGGCGCAAATTTGAACGGTAGCGGTCGATCATAAGGGGTTGCTCGTAGTTACAGCCTGGCGACCGGGTCCAATTGCTGGCCCTGGAAGGCGGTTGCGGTCATTTCGCGGCGGCCAATGCGTCCACCAAGGAGTCGATATCTGCCCGCGAGTTCATCTCGGTCACGCAGAGCAGCATACCGTTTTCGAACCGGTCGCTGACGTCGAGGCCGCCGAGTATGTTGCGCTCCATGAGCCGGCGGTTGACCTTGGCCGGGGCTTCAGGGCAGGTGACGACGAACTCCTGGAAGAACGCTCCCGATTGGGGCAGGGCATATCCTGCCAGCCCGGAGATGGCAGAGGCGGCGTAGTGCGCCTTGTGATAGCAGAGTTCGGCCACCTGGCGCAGCCCGTGCCGACCCATCGCCGACAGGTATATGGTCGAAGCCAGGGCGTACAAGGCTTCGTTAGTACAGATATTGGAGGTGGCCCTTTCCCGACGGATGTGCTGCTCGCGGGTTTGCAGGGTCAGCACGTAGCCGGTGCGGCCCCGGGTGTCGGTGGTCCGACCCACCAGGCGGCTGGGCATCTGACGAATGTACTGTTGCTTGCAACTGAACAACCCGAGATACGGGCCACCAAACGACGGCGGGATGCCGATGGGCTGTCCTTCGCCGGTCACGATGTCCGCGCCGAATTCTCCCGGGGGCCTGAGCATTCCCATTGCCAACGGGTCGGCCGATACCACCAGCAAGGCTCCGTCATCGTGGGCAGTGGCAGCGAGGCCGGCAAGGTCGTCCAGCCCGCCGTAGAAATTGGGTATTGCGCCACCACGCCGGCGGTTGCTTCCGTTACGCTCGCGCCGACATCGGCGGTTGCGACGATGTCGATGGCAATCCCCTGGGCCTGGCAGTAGGTGGCAATCACCTGGCGGTAGGCCGGCGCGACCGTGTCGCTGACGACGACCTGCTGCCGGCGCGTCACCCGGCAGGCCATCAGAACCGCCTCGGCGAGACTGGTGGCGCCGTCGTACATGCCGGCGTTGGCGACTTCCATGCCGTAGAGGGAACTGATCATGGTTTGGAACTCGAAGATGACCTGCAAGGTGCCCTGGGACACCTCAGGCTGGTAGGGCGTGTACGCCGTCAGAAATTCGCCACGGGTCATGACCGCCTTCACGATAGCAGGAATGAAGTGGTAGTAGCTGCCCGCGCCCAGGAATGACGGTCCACTGACCAACGAGCGATTTCGCCCGGCGATCTCTCCGAGTTCCCGCTGAATCTCCAACTCCGACATGGGGTCAGGGAGTCGCAGCGGAGGGTTTCTGTAATCATCGGGTATGTCCGAGAACAGCTCATCGACGCTGCTGAGGCCGACTGCGGCCAGCAGCTCGTCCTGTTCGGCGAGGGTGTTGGGGATGTAGTGCGACTGGAAGTTGGTGACCATTCGGGGTTGCTCCGTTTGGTGGTTAAGTTGTCAGCGCGGCTGATACGCGGTTCGTATGGGAAACTCGGGATGGTTCGCCGCAGTCTACAGCGGATCCGACCGATGCAGGATTGAGGGTCAGGCCAGTACTCGATAGCGATAGCTCGAGTCCAGGAGGTCGCCTTCAGCAAAGCGGTTGAACCGCAGCGGGGAGAGGTCGACGTCGCGCGCTTTGCCTTCGGCCACCAGTTCGGCTACCGCCTTGCTGATCGCGGGGGATAGCTTGAAGCCATGCCCGCTGAAACCCACCGCGCAGAACAGACCCTCAACTCCGGGCACGCTGTCCAGGATGGGATGCCAGTCCGGCGTGGTGGTGAACAGACCGGACCATCCGCCACGGTAGTAGGAGTCGGACATGCTGGGGATACGGCGGGCCAACCGTTCCCTGGCGGAGGCGGCGGCAGACGGATCGATTCCCTGAGGGTATGCGTCGGGATCGGATTGCTCCTCATCGTCGCCAAAACCCATCGTGGTGAAGTTGGAGCCGTCAGGCCGGAAGGAAAAGGACTGGCTGATATCGCCAACGGTGGGATGCTGGGGAACGAGTTCGACAGGTCGGGCCACGGTAGCAACCTGGTGGCGCACCGGAAGCAGGGGTACGTCCACTCCGACGCCGGCCAAGATCTGTTTGGACCAGGGGCCGGCCGCGACAATGATCGTATCGGTGGCGACGCGGTCGCCCGCGGCGGTGACGACACTCTGCACTCGGCCGGAGGCGGTATCGATACCGGCAGCCGGGTTGCGAGAGGCGATCACGGCGCCGGCTTCCCGGGCGCGGGCGGCATAGGATACGGTGACCTGGTACGGGTCGGCGTAGCCGGAATTGGGTTCCCAGGCGGCTCGCTCGTCGTCGTACAGCGTCACCATGGGAGCCAACTTGGCGAGGTCGTCTGGGGACACCACGGAGGTGGGCACGCCCATTTCCTGATGCATGGCGACGTTGCGTTCCAGGCCGCCCTGGTCGGCCTCGTTGACCACCACCAGATAGCCGGTCTGGACGAAGCCGGAACGCCCACCGACGCGGGCGTCGAAGTCGGCAAAGACCTGCAAACTCTGCCACGCAAGTTGCGTGGTTATCCGATTGGAGTAGTGCATGCGGCAGATGGCCTGGGAGCGGCCGGTACTGCCGGAGCCGAGCACGTCCCTTTCCAACAGGACGGTATTGGCGATCCCGAGCTGCGCCAAATGGTACTGGATGGCGCAACCGATGACGCCGCCCCCGATGATGACCGCGTCGGCTACGCTGGGGAGGCTGTTACTGATCAATGCCTTTCCAAGACATGACGCGATTTACGTCGATCTCAATGGCAACCAGTTTCTGGTCGCCCTCGGCCAGGTCGGCAGCGTCCTGCTCGCCTCGTTCCGCGCCTTCGTACCTGGAGAAAATCCGGCGCACCGCGTCCTTGAGATTGTCGTTGCTTACCGTGGCGTCGCCCTCAAGGATGACGTATTGATACGGCCATTCGTCGGTGGCTACGGAGAGGGCCACCCTGGGGTTGCGCCGCACGTTCCTGGTCTTGACTGCCGCGTCGCCCGACACCACGGTTACTTTTCCGTCTTCCCACTGGTACCATACGGGCGAAACGTGGGGAGAACCGTCTTCGCGAATTGAGGCGAAGTGGGCAACGTGCGGGCCCGCAAGGTAGGCGTCGATCTCCTGTGGCGTCAGTCGCGGCATCGTTTCCTCTGATTACAGCCGGCGGCCTCGCACGAGTACGGGCGTGCGCGGGCCGGGATGCAGGTATCATACCATAATCGGCCATTGGCCCAAGGTCGGGTCAACGAATTGAGATCCTACCGGCCGGCGCGGATTCCGGTCAGAAAAGCTGGTTATGCACGTTGGAAAACAGGGTCACGCTCACAGCGAAATGGCTGCAACGCCCCGTGGTACAATCTGGCCGCACAGAGGGGCCCGGGTCATCCACCGCGCCCTCAGCTGCCTACCCATATAGCATGATCCTGCCAGTGGCGTTCAGCATTCCAGCCTACCCGTCGGAGACGAAGCGTCGCCAGAGAGTCGGAGGCTGTTAGCAATGCGGCGGCCCAAGATCTTCTATGGGTGGTGGATCGTCATCGTCAGCCTCCTTGCCGACGGGATGAAACACGGCAGCTTCAACCGTGGTTTCACGGTTCTCTACGTTCCGATCGAGAGCGACCTCATCTTCCCCAAGGACGTCCTGGGCTTCAGTCCGCAATCGCGGACGATGTTGGGGCTGGCGGAAGGCCTGGGCCGGTTTATGGGCGGTGTCCAGGGCCCGCTCATGGGATACTGCACCGACAGGTTCGGCCCTCGCGTGATGCTGGCCTTCGGCGGCCTGATGTCCGGTTTGGGCTTCATCCTGCTGGCGCGCACCACCAACTTCTGGTGGTTCCTGCTCGTGTTCGTGATCTTCCTTTCGGTGGGGTTCAGGTCGGGTTACAACAACGCCTCGATTGCGGCCGTAAACAACTGGTTTCGCAGGCGACGCGGCCTGGCGATGTCGGTAGTCAGCATGGGCAACGGGTTGGGCGGCGCGTCCGCGTATCTCGTGGGCCTGCTCGTTTTCCTGGTGGGATGGCGCGACGCCTGCACCATCCTGGGTTTTGCCATCCTGGCCGTGGTCATACCGCTGTCGTATTTTTTGCGTCGCGCGCCCGAAGATATGGGTCAGCTGCCCGATGGCGACCCGCCGGACCTGGCCGAACTGAATCCGTCCGGCCAGAACGCGGCCGCGCGGCGCCGTTCGGCCAACGTGGGGGATACCGACTTCACCGCCCGGGAGGCGATGCGCACACCGTCGTACTGGCTGCTGGTCATGTCGACCGGGTTCCGCAACATCGTTCACGCGGGCGCTTCGTTCCTGATGGCGCCGCTGATCATATGGTTCATGGAGGCCGGGGTCCCCGTCGACCCGACTTCCGAGCAAGGCAAGAATCACATCATCATCGCCGCGGCATTCGTCAGCGCGTTTTCGCTGGCCAATATGGTGTTCAACCCGTGCATGGGATGGATAGGCGACAAGGTGGACCGGCGTAAGCTGAGCGCGCTCTGCATGGTCTCCGGCGCAATCGCATTGGGCACGCTGGTCACCGAGAGCGGAGAGATGTGGCAGGTCGCCCTGTTCATCTTGCTGCTGGCCTTTGCGGAGAGCGCAAACCCGCTCAACTGGGCCATCATGGGAGATTTCTTCGGAAGGCGCTCTTATGCAACCCTGCGCGGATGGCAGCACCTGCCGGATCAACTGGCCTCGATGTGGACCGCGATGTGGATGGGAGCCATCTACGACTACACGAACAGCTTCTACTGGGCGCTGTTCCCGCTGGTGGTCCTATACCTCGCGGCAGCCATAGGTTACTGGTTCCTGCCGCGGCCTCCGCTTCCAAGACGATTGCAATTGCAGCAGGAACGCAGCGATGCCCGAAGCAACCGGGGCGCACGGGCGGCCCCCGAACCCGCTGACTAACCTTTGTTGGTCTCTACACCGTAGGCGCGCAATGGCTGCCACCGCAGAGCCGAAGTTTCTCGCCGCCAGGCACAGGTTTTACGACAATCTAGTTGAAAACCGGTGCCTGCTGATGGACCACGGAATCCCTAGCGTAGCGGACGGTTCCAGCGCTCAAAGTTGTAAGATCGCGGCGCATTTGTTTGCAAACCTCAACGTGTCCGCATCAGGAACACGGCTTTCAGGCCAGCGTGCAGGCGCACAGTTTGAAACGGTCTGCGCAGCATTTTTAAAAGAAACGTTCCTTGAGCTCAGTAACATCCGTCCAGGGCATTGGCAAATTGATCGCAAAATGGCGATCACTGAATTTGATCAATATGACCACCTGCTTACCTTGTCAGCCTTGGCAAAAGACAATGCAGACCTGGCCGCGGCAATGGTCAGTGACTACCTAAACTGAAGCCAAGGTGAAACCCGCAGAGGAGCATCAGGTAAATTCGGGTATCCAGGGGCGTGCGTAAGAACTTATGTGGCAATCCCAAACAATTCTCCTCGCCCCACAAATGTGGATCCCACCTTGGCTTTAGTTTAGTCGAACCCGATATCGTCATCGCTCGGTATCCCATTCCGGAGCAGGAATTGCTTTCGTTTGTCGACGATACCGTAGGCCTTCGCACTCCGCTGCGCGCCGCCAACGGAGGTAAACCGCTGCTCCATGCCAGTGTTTCCTGCAAATGGACCATTCGAAGTGACCGATCACAGAACACGAGGTCGGAAGCATTAAGCCTTGTCAGAAATCGCAAAGGGCCGTTGCCGCACATCGTTGCAATTACTGCGGAACCGCTGCCGCAGCGCATCACTTCGATCGCGATGGGAACCGGGGACATGGACTGCGTTTACCACATCGCATTGCCTGAACTCGAACAATCGGTGATGTCTGTGGGCTCAGCCGCCTCTCAAAAATCATTGGCCACGATGATTTCGGGTAAACTCCTCCGTGATATCGCTGACCTACCACTGGATCTAGCTATCTGATTTTCGGCGACCGAGTCATGCTTACCAACCACAAGATGTACGCCCGCCAGCGATTGGAGTCCTTGTTGGCAGGGGATCTTTCATTTCAGGCTCCGGCTCGGCAGGCTCACCCGCTGCATGCGCTGCACCCGTTTGCGGCCCGATTCCCGCACGGCCTGCCGGGGTACTTCATCAATGCCTTGACGGAGCGCGGCGACACCGTGCTTGACCCAATGTGCGGATCGGGGATCACGCTGCTGGAGGGTTGGGCTGCGGGGCGGTCGGTAATCGGTGTGGATTTGGATCCGTTGGCGCGGAGGCAGGCCGCGGCGCGGACCATCGCCCTGTGCCCCAGCGAGATCCGCGAGGCAGGACAGGCGGCGCTCCGGCGGGCTGAAGACCTCGCCGCCGGGTTGGGAGCGTACTCCGATCCGCTGGAGGCGGTGAGAGCCGACATGGATGCGTCAACCCGAGAATTCCTGGACTATTGGTTCTTCCCGGCAACTCAGCATGATCTCGCCTGTTTGACGCTTGCGATCAAGGAAGAGCCGGATCCGGATCTGCGCAATCTGTTGGAAGTGATCTTTTCTTCGACAATCGTTACCAAGTCCGGGGGCGTGTCCCGGGCGCGCGATTTGGCCCACACGCGTCCTCACCGGGTGTCTGATAAGGTCCCCAAGCCTCCCATTTCGCTGTTCGCGAACCTCGTCGAGCGTGCCGCTGACGCTTACGCCAGCATTGACCGGGATGCAGTGGGCGACTGTCGCATCGTTGCCGGCGATGCGCGTGCCGTGCCGCTGCCGGAAAGCAGCGTGGACCTGATCGTGACGTCGCCGCCTTACGCGAACGCGCTGGACTACATGCGGGCGCATAAGTTCTCCTTGGCCTGGCTGGGCGACCCCATCCCGTCCCTGACCAGATTGCGCGGCAAGTACATCGGGTCCGAGTCGGCGCGCAGTCCAGCGGACGCAGGGTTCGGAGCACAGTTACCGGCGGACGTTGAAGCTGTGGTGGAACGGATAGCCACGGCGGACGCTGCGAAATCGCGGGTCCTCCGCCGGTATTTCGCCGACATGTCGGCTTCGATAACAGAAATGGAAAGGGTACTCCGGCCCGGGTCGGCGGCCGTGATCGTAGTGGGGCCATCGACGATGCGGGGGATACCGGTACCCACCCACGACTGCCTTGCGTATCTTGCCACGCAGGCTGGATTGAATGTGGTGAGGGTCTCTCCTCGCCAGCTTGACCGCGACCGTCGGATGATGCCGGCCAGGACCGCCGGGCGCGCCGGCATCCCGGCCGCGGCCGCGACGGGCATCGAGAGGCGGATGCATACGGAGTTCATCATTGGCGCGGTCAAGGTATAACCCCAGCGGCAAACTGCGTCGCATATCCTGTTCAGCAAGGCCCGGTTAGCACCCGGCAATCTAGTCTCAAACGGAAACCCGGTTTGTCCCGGAGAGACTATATACAAGATATTGTTATCGATAGTCATGCGGCAAGGATTTCGTTCGCCGCCGGGCTCCCTGTGCCTCATCAAAACGGATATTCCATTGGCGGCGTCACCGAGCGGGCGCAAGATTGGATTTCACCATGCGTTTTGTTATATGACCAATTTCATGTCGTTTTTCGTTTGTGGGCAAAACATTACATCTAGGCATCCGTCTAGCGGGACCGACGGTTCCCGGATTACCATTTCCAACCATACGTTTATGTTCAGTTGGATGCAGGAAAACAGACGATGCAAGACCGCCCGGACCCAGTATCAGCATGGCAAGCAGCCCTCGGACGCCTACAGCTCGAAATACCCCAGGAGCAGTTCAACACTTTCCTGCGACCCTGCGCGGGGCTGCGGTGGGACAGCGATTGCCTCGTGGTCGGAGCGGCCACCGCTTTCGCCGTTTCATGGCTCGAATTGCCATTACATCTCGAAATGGTGCGGGAAGCGGTGGCCAAGGCGGCCGGCGTACAGTCGAACGTCCGCTACGAGGCGGCGCCGACCGCCCGGGACACGTCCCAAGAACCCACCGTCTCGGTGCAATCGGTAGTTGCGGAACGGGCTGCTCATCTGCGCACTGCGGTTGACCACCAAGGCGGCCAGTCGACACAGCATTTCGGGTCAGCCGGGCACAGCTTGCCGTCACCCGGAACGGTAGGTCTGAACCCCCGCTACAGCTTCGACAACTTTGTAGTCGGGGAGAGCAACCAGTTGGCCTACCACGCCGCACGGGCCATAGTCGGCGCGGGCCTGGAGGCCGCGCCGGGTTACAACCCGTTGCTGCTCTACGCCGGATCCGGGATGGGCAAAACCCACCTGTTGCACGCTATCGGCAATCTGGCCCTGCAGCAGGGTGTTGCGGTCCGGTACGTAACCTCCGAACAGTTCACCAACGAGTTCGTGTCGTCAATCAACCGGAAGGCGATGCCGGAATTCCGGGAGCGCTACCGCGGCGTCGGCCTGCTCCTGCTGGACGATGTGCAGTTCCTGGTGGGCAAAGAGCAGACACAGGAGACCCTGTTCCACACGTTCAACGACCTGCACCAGGCCGGGGCACAGATCGTTTTGACCAGTGACCGGCCACCGGAAACCATCGCGCCGCTGGAAGACCGGCTGCGCTCCCGTTTCCAATGGGGCTTGGTGGCCGATATCCGGCCGCCGTCGCTGGAAACGCGACTGGCCATGCTCCATTCGTGGGCTACCGATAGCGGCTCCGAGGTGCCTACTCCGGTTCTGGATGTCATCGCCCAGCGGGTCAGCCGCAACGTGCGCCAATTGTTGGGCGCGTTCAATCGGGTGGTGGCAACATCACGGCTTCTGGGTGCGCCGTTGACCGCCGAAAGCGTCGCAACGCAGCTGGACGCCATCGTCGGGCCGGACGCCCGCGCTGAAGTTACGGCCCAGCAGGTGCTGAGCAAAGCAGCGCATCATTACGGTCTCACGCCAGAACAGATCCTGAGTCGCAACCGCACCGCGGCAGTGGCGCAAGCGCGTCAGGTGACGATGTATCTGCTGGTGAACGAACTCGGCATGACACCCACCGGCGCCGGGCGGTTCCTGGCGGGCCGAAACCACAGCACGGTGATTCATGGCGTTGGCAGGATACGGCAAGCTATGCAGTCCGACAGTAGGATCAGGCACGCAGTCGTGGCCATAACCGAATCACTGCTAAAGTAAGCGCGTTGGGTTCGATTAACCACCCTTGGAGGCACGCATGACAACAGGCAACAGCCAGACCATCCGAACCGTCGTCGGCACGGGCGAAGCCGGATACAGCGGGGACGACGGGCCCGCCGCGTCCGCCACGCTCCGTGAACCGTTCATGTGCGCGTTCGACACCTCGGGCAACATGTTTTTCTGCGAAGCGCGAAATCACGTCGTCCGGCGGGTTGATGCGTCCACCGGTCATGTCACTACGGTGGCTGGGACGGGAGCAGCCGGATACAGCGGGGACGACGGCCCGGCCACGGATGCCACGCTCAACGAGCCCTACTCCCTGGAGGTCGACGCGGGCGGGAACATTTACGTCGTTGACCGACTGAACGCCGCCGTGCGCCGGATCGATGGGGATACCGGTGTCATCACCACTGTGGCAGGGACCGGGGAACCGGGATATTCGGGAGACGGTGGCCCCGGCGACCAAGCCCAGCTACGAGAGCCGAACGACTGCTTCCTGGACGGGCGCGGCGGCCTGCTGATTGCGGACATCCAGGACCAGCGCGTCCGTCGCCTGGATCTGGAAACGGGGATCATCGACACCTTTGCGGGCAACGGCGAAAAGGCACGCGGGGGCGACGGGATGCCGGCCCGGCAAGCGAGCATACTGGGCTCCCGCGCGGTTTGCATGGACCAGCACGGCAACACGTACATCGCGGAGCGTGAGGGCAACGGCGTGCGCGTGGTTACCGCGGGCGGCATCATGGGGACCGTCGCGGGGGTATCGGCCGAACGGGGCTACACCGGAGACGGCGGGTCCGCTTTGTCCGCCACCTGGGGCGCACCCAAGGCCCTGCGCTGCGACGCAACGGGGAACGTCATCGTGGTGGACACGGAAAACCACGCCATTCGCAAAATCGACACCAATACCGGCGTGGTCACCACCATCGCCGGAGGGCAGTTGGGCGGTCACGGAGACGGCGGTCCGGCCACCGACGCGGGATTGGACCGGCCGCACGGGTGTGGCATCACGGCCAGCGGACAGATCTACATCGCAGACAGCAACAACCACCGGATCCGGATGGTGGGCTAGCGGCGGGAACCGAATCGACTTTCGTCCGATTCCTTGACACTACAGGCACCCGTTGGCTACGATTGAATCACGGTCTGAGGTTGAGTTCGGGTAGTTGGACCGTGGACGTGGGGATATAGCTCAACTGGGAGAGCGCGGCGTTCGCAATGCCGAGGTTGCGGGTTCGAGTCCCGCTATCTCCACCAATTCGTTTCTGCCCCTGTAGCTCAGTTGGATAGAGCGGCGGCGTCCTAAGTCGCGCGTCGGGGGTTCGAGTCCCTCCAGGGGTACCACGATCACTGTTTCCGCAAGAGTGGGGGCGGCTTATTGGCCGCCCCCGACTGCCGGCTGCCGCCGTGCTATCATGGGCCGCGCGTTCACTCCAACCTGCCGGAAACGAAGGAGGGCATGGTAAATGGCGACAGGTACCCTAGCATGGACCGAACAAACCGTGGAGGCAGCGGGCGCTCAGCTGCAAGTCGTCACGGGCGGCAGCGGTGATCCCCTGCTCATTCTTCACGACGAATTCGGCCACCACGGCCAACTTCGCTACCACGAGGCTCTGGGCCAGGATTTCAGCCTGCACATTCCGCGCCATCCCGGCTTCGGCGCCACCGAGCGTCAGGAATGGATCATGAATATGCGTGACCTGGCGGGGTGGTACCTGGAGGCCCTGGACGACCTTAACCTCGGACCGGTGAACCTCATGGGCTTTTCGCTGGGTGGCTGGCTGGCTGCGGAGATGGCCACCATGTCGCCAGGCCAATTCCGGAAGCTCGTGCTCGTCGCGCCGGCCGGCATTCGGCCACCCACCGGAGAGATCTTTGACATGTTCCTGGCAGTGGCCGAGGAATATCTCACCGTTGGCCTCCACGATCCAGAAAATGCCCCTGAATTCCGGGACGTTTGCCCCGAGGAGCCCTCGGCGGAGCTTGCCGAAGCCTGGGCGGTGGCAAGGGAGGAGGCGTGCCGACTGAGCTGGCGGCCTTACATGCACTCCCTGAGCCTGCCCCATCTGGTGCATCGCCTCAAGCGCGTGCCTACCCAGATCATCTGGGGGCAGCAGGACAATATCGTTCCAGCGTCCGCCGGCCAGATGTACCACGACTCCATTCCCGGCTCGCGGCTCGACATCCTTGATTCGTGTGGGCACCGTCCCGAACTGGAAAAGACCGACGAATTCGTGGCCCTCGTGAAGGGGTTCCTATCCACCTAGCGATTCCTTCGCTATGGTAAAATCCGGCCGTACCCGGAACCGCAAGGAGAATCGACATGTTCATTGGATATTTTACGGAAAGGCCCTACCAGGATCCCAAATCCGGGTATTTCGGCGCAACCGGCAAGTCGATCATGGACCTCAACGTCAGCAATGAAATATACGATGCCGAGCTGGGCGCCCATTTGTACAACCGCTACCTGGACGAAAAGATCTACGCTGAGGAGATGGGGTTCGACGGCCTGATGCTCAACGAGCACCACAGCACGCCGTTCTGCATGGGCGGCGCGATGAACGTGGAAGCTTCGGTTCTCGCCCGCATCACCAACCGCGCCAAGATAGTCCTGTTGGGCAACATCCTTCCCCCTCTGGGACGACCCGTTGTGGCTGGTCGAGCAGTTGTCCATGATTGACATGATCTCGCACGGTCGCCTGGTATCGGGATGGGTTCGCGGCACCGGTCGTGAAAGCGTGGCGCACAACATCGAACCCCACTACAACTGGGAGCGCTTCAAGGAAGCCCACGAGCTGATCGTGAAGGCATGGACAACCCCTGGCCCGTTCCGCTGGGAAGGCAAGCACTACCACTTCCGTCACGTCAATCCGTGGGTCAAGCCTTACCAGAAACCCATCCTCCCATCTGGCTACCGGGAGTGGTTAGCCGCGACTCGTTGATCTGGGCGGCCGAGCAACGGATCCCCTACATCATGCTGGCCACCGAGATGGAACCCACCAAGCAGGCGTTCCAGATTTACCACGACACCGCTGCTGAGCTGGGCTACGAGTCCGGGCCGCAGAACATCGGCTACCTGTGGAAGGTCCACGTCGACGAGACGGAAGAACTCGCAGAGCAGACCGGCCGGAAGTACGTACAGGGACCCAGCAACCCGTTCCTCGCCGGCAACGAGGGCACGACCAACCAGGCCCTGCTGCATCTCCCCGGACTGACCTCACGCCGGCGAGTTTTGCCCACCACGTCCGTGGCGACGGCGGCCCGCGGCGGCAGCGCCGGCCCCGGCGGTGTCCTATCGCGACCCTACGAGCAGCAGGTCGAGGACTACACGATCATCTCCGGCACCCCCGACACCGTCATCCCCAAGATCCGTCACGTGCTGGAAACCATCCGCCCGGGCAGCATCTTCTTCTGGGATGGCGACGGCGCCATGACCCACGACGACGCCATGCGCAGCCTGCGCCTCATGGGACAGGAAGTGTTGCCCGCGGTTCGAGAGATTGCCAAAGAACTGGATTTGCCGGGACCCTTTGAAGTGGACCCGGCCACCGGCAAGCCCTACGTCGCGAACCCGGCTCCCGCCGAGGTGGCCGCTGACGACTAGGACTCACCCATACGCTCTGCATCCGCGCCTCTCCCAACCCGGGGGAGGCCGTTTGCTATCGCCCACCTTGAATTTCGCCGACACCCGACACGGAGCGTGACCATGCCTTACGGAGACAATGACTGGTTGGCCCTCACCGCCGAGCCCGCCCTTGAGCCGGGCCTGCCCATCTGCGACGCTCACCACCACTTCTGGGACTTCCGCATGGACCGGGTCCCCTACCACCGCTATCTGCTGGATGAATTGGCCGCAGATGTGAACAGCGGACATAACGTGCGCTCCACTGTGTTCCTGGAAGCCCGATCCATGTACCGGCCGGACGGACCGGAAGAGCTGCGGCCGGTAGGCGAGGTCGAGTTCGTCCAGGGCATCGCCGCCGCCAGCGCCACCGGCCTGTATGGGCCAACCAGGGCCGCCGCCGCCATCATCGGCCACGCGGACCTCGCCCTCGGCGACGATGTGGCCCACGTCCTCGACGCGCTCCAGGCGGCCAGCCCCAACCGATTCCGCGGTATCCGGTACAACGCGGGTTGGGACCCCAATCCTGAGCTGGACAGCCGCTCCGTCGAGCACAAGTTGGCCGACCCGCAGTTGCGCGCCGGCGCCCGGGTTCTCGCCGACCGGGGCCTGGTCTACGAAAACGTCGTTTACTTCCCGCAACTCGCCGAACTGGCCGAATTCGCGCGGGCCGTGCCCGACCTGACCATCGTGTCCAACCACATCGGCGGCCTGATCCGCGTCGGCCCTTACGGCAACCGGGACGACGAGGTTATGCCGGCCTGGAGGGACGGCGTGGCCGCGCTGGCCCAGTGTCCCAACGTGGTGATGAAGCTCGGCGGCGTGGGCCAACCACGGTACGGGTTCGACTGGCACACGCGGACCACGCCCATAGGCTCGGAACAACTGGCACAGGAGATGGGACCCCTGATCACCTACTGCATTGACCAGTTCGGGCCCGACCGCTGCCTGTTCGAAAGCAACTTCCCGCCGGACAAGGTCTCCTTCTCGTACAACGTCATGTACAACGCCTTCAAGCGCATGACGTCGGGTTATTCAGCCAGCGAGCGCGCCAGCATGTTCCACGACAACTCGGCCCGGATCTACCGGATCGAGTACTGAACACTATTGGCCGGTCAGCAGCGCCGTCAGTTCACTCACGTCGGCCAGTCTCTCGAGACGGCCGACGGTGTCCACTACCCGCTGCATCCGGTCTTTCGACAGGGTATCGCGGGTCAGGGCATAGAACTTGGTGAGCAGTTCCTCGCGCCCCGCGGGATTGGAAAAGTCGCCGCGCTGTGACGTAACCTCCGCTTGGCGGATGCTGCCGTCAGCCAGCTCCACGGCAACGCGGGCCGACGGATAGTCGTAGCGGCGCAGGTTCATGTCGGGATCGGAGTCCAGCGAAACGCGCTGGGCGAGTTCACGCACATCCGCGTTGGAGACCCGCTCCGGCAAGAACGCGGTGACGTCAGTGCGGCCGTAGCAGATAGCGGCAGCCACCGCGTAGGGTATCGAGAACTTCGCCGCCAGCATATTGTCGGGCGCGGGTTCGGCCATGATGCCGGCGATGGGCGGCGCGGTGACCGCCACGCTCTTCACGTCGGACGCGGCGAAAGGCTCGTCGCGAAGCAGATCCTGCACCGCGTCCAGGACCGGATGGTTGTACAGACAGCAGGCGTGGAATTGAAATAATTCTGCTCGATACGGAGGTTGCCCGAAGTTCCCAGACCGTCAACCGCTGCGTCCGGGTCGAAACCTTCCCCGAGGAAGGTGCGGTACAGGTCAGCGGGGCCGTCGCCGACGGCCGTGAAAACCGCATTGGCTGAGGTGAACCGCCATGATCCCCTGGAAACCGGACCGGCCGGGGGTACAGGTTGCGCACGGTGGCTCCTTCAATGCAGGGGGTCCACGTATTGGCTGGGCTCATGGACATGGACAGGTTCATCGCCAACCTGGTTTGCGCCGCGTCGAACCCCATCAAGCGGGCGGTTGCCGCCGCCGTGCCGATGGTCCCCCAGGTGCCGTGGGAGTGCACTTCCGGCCTGATTTGGGTGGCCGTTCCGATGCGGGATATGACCTCGTAGCCAACTATGATGCTCTCCATGACCTCGCGGCCGCTACGTCCCAGGTCCTCGCCCACGGCGATGGCCCCCGGCGTGACGTGGATTGACGGGTGCCCGCCGCCCAGGCGGTTGCCTTCATCCATCTCCAGCGACACGCCGGCGGTGGCGTTGACCATGGTGGCCCAAACCGGTTGCACCCGGCCAGCATGACCGAAGACGGTTGCCGTACCGGGTCCGCTCATGGCCGCGGCCAGACTGGCGAAGTTGGCATTTTCAGACAGGCGGCTGCCGGCGAGGATGGCGCCGATGGTGTCCAGCACCACGTCCTTCGCGGCGGCGATGGTGGACGGCCCGCAGGTCCTCCCAGCGCGACTCCGCCACGAACTGGGCAAGCAGGTCGAGATAATTCTTGGCCATAATCGCACCTACCGCGTGAAGAATTCGTGGAGCAGCCGATATGCGTCGTCCGGCAACTCCTCAGCAATGTAATGGCCGGAGGGCAGCGACTGCCCTTCCACGTTATTGGAATAGTTCCGCCACACTGCGAGAACGTCCTGGGTGCGGCCCACGTAACCCCGGTCGCTCCACAGCGCCAGGTGGGGGCAGTTGACCTTGTTGTCGAAGTCGGCCTCGTCGTGCTCCAGGTCGATGCTCGCGCCGGCGCGGTAGTCCTCGCACGCCCCGTGGATGGCTTCGGGGTTACTGAAGCAGCGCACGTATTCGTCCACAGCCTCCGGCGCGAACACCGTCTCCGCGTTGCGCTCGCGCATGAACCTGGAGCGGATGTAGTAGTCGGGATCGGCGCCGATGACCCGCTCCGGGAAGTCGTAAGCTGGATCAGGAAGAACCAGTGGTAGGTATTGGTCGCCATTTCCTTGTTGACGATGCTGAACATGTGGCGCGTGGGGCACGATATTATCGAGGGTTGCCAGCCGCAACACGCGCTCGGAATGATCCTTGGTCAACCGGTGGCCGACGCGCGCGCCCCGGTCGTGGCTTCCCAGGAAGAACGTATCGAACCCGAGGTGCGTCATGGCGTCCACCAGGTCCTGGGCCTGCGCCCGCTTCGAGTGGTTGAAGTGGTCGGGGCTGCCCTGGGGCTTGCCGCTGTCCCCGTAGCCGCGCAGGTCCGCCGCGACCACGGTGAAGTCTTCGGCAAGACGCGGCGCGATCTGTGCACATGGTGTGCGTCTGCGGGTAGCCGTGCAGCAGCAGCAACGGAGGACCGCTCCGCCCTTCACCAGGTTCACCGCCTCGCCGGCGGTCTCCACCTGCATACGCTCAAATCCCTCGAACAAAGCCATCTTCCGCTCCTCGTATTCCCAAGTCAAGTGCAAGCCATAGGCCTGTAGACCGGTACATAATGCGTCGGTGCGCCGGCGATGTAAATACCTTGTTCCGTGCCCTTTGACACCATATTCGCGCCCGTGTACCGTAGGTCACAAACTGCCGGACTGGCCCTTTTGAGAGCGCAAATGACCACCACCACGGTACCAACCACATCGCCCACTACCTCGACGCGGCTGGCCCCTTCGTGGCCCGCGTCGACGAAGCCGCCGACTGGATCGACGCCGAGCGGCAGATGCCGCCCGACCTGCCGGGGACATGGCCGATGCCGGCTTTTTCCGCCTGCTGCTGCCTCGCGACCTGGGCGGCGCCCAGCTGGCGCATCCGGACTTCCTGCAAATTCTGGAGCAATTTGCCGCGGCGGATGCGAGCGTGGCGTGGTGCCTGAACCAAAACAACGTCTTTGCCACCAGCGCCGCCCGTATGCCTGTGGATACCGCGCATCTGATCTGGGGCGAGCCGCGCGCGGTGGTCACCAATGGACCGCCCACGAGATCCTGCCTCGCCACTCCCGTGGAGGGCGGCTACCGCCTGAACGGGCGCTGGAACCTGAGCAGCGGCAGCGACCACGCCACCTGGATCGCTGCGTTGTCGCCCGTGCGCAGGGTGGGCAAACGGAGCCACCGCCAGCGATCAGGGGCCACGCATCCTGCTGATGCCCAAACCGGAGGTCAATATCGTCGACCTGTGGCACACGGCCGGACTCCGCGGACGGGCAGTTTCAGCTTCGACGTGGACGACCGGTTCATCGCCGAAGAGCGCACCTACATCAGGATGGCCCGGCGTGGGCCGATGGACCGCTGTACCAGATCCCGCGCACGCTGCTTTTGCCACCGGCTTTGCCACCGTTGCGCTCGGCGAGTGGCGCGCAAGAGTTTGGAAATCGCCCATCGAGTAGGCCAGAGCCGGATGCCCTACCGGTCCGGCGTGCTGCGTCCGCGACCAGCAAACCACCCAGCGCACGATGGGCGAAGCACATGCCAGCAAAGTTCCGCGCGCGCCTTTCTGAAGGAAAGCACACGGCCGGCTGTGGGATTCAGCTTGCTCAAGGGCACGCTCACCATCGACGAGCGGATACAACTGCGGGTCGCCGCCACCCATGCCATCGCACGTCGGCGCAGGTGGTGGACGCGCGTACACCTTTGCGGCCGCGAGCGGCATTTTCCAGTCCAACCCGATCCAGCGACGGTTCCAGGACATGCACGTCATCACCCAGCATGTGCAGGGACACTACTGTGCACTACGAAACGGGCGGGCCCATTCCTGATGGGTTGGAACCGCAGGGCGTTTTTTTTAAGCAAAAGGAGGTGCGGCCATGGCCGGCGAATCACGAGGATACGTCATCGTCAGGCGGCGACAGATCGTAGCTGCTGTAACCTGTCGTACAGGTTCGTACGAAAGTCGATCGCGTTTTTCGGGCGGGAGAGATCGTCGCCATCGGCCCGAACAACTTATCAGCTGAGCTGACACGCTGTACATGACGCGCGGGAACCAAGTTCGTGCTGCCGGAGCCTGATCGAGAGCCACGTGCACCTGGACAGGACACGACGACTACCGCACTATGGGTGCGTTGGCCGCGCGGCGATCACGCCGAAGGCCTGACCACACTGGTGCGTCGGGACCGAATACACGATGGAGGCGCGACGACGACGCTGCCGCAGGCTGTGCACAGCACTCGCGAAACCAATGGAGCAGAACGCGGCTCACCGATTCGCCTTCCACTTCATCCTGCAAAACCGCACGAGCATCTGTCTGGGTTGCCCCAGGCCATGCGACTCGGTAACCGTCAAATCCTCAAGATGTACATGACCTACACGAAGCGTCCCGCACAGGATGTGCGACCGACGACCTACATCTGCGCAGGGCGATGGACCTTGGTGGCTCGTGGCGGGCGCGTGCTGCCAGCTGCACTGCGACGGAGCGGAAACATATCGAGTTTACTGAAGAAACACAGCTGTTGGCGGAGGGTCCACACCCATCCACGGATTTCCACACCGCGTGCCCGAGATGGGCGGAAGAGACGAGACGTCCATCATACACGGGCAGTCAAGATGATTAGCGCGGCCACACGGGCCCAACCTATGTCGTCCACCTCAGCACCCAACTTGGCCGGAGCGCATTCAAACAGGCGCAGAGCCTGTTGGCAAGCGCGATGTGTGTGACGGACGACTGCAAACCTTCTGCGATCCGACGCCCAACCAAATGGCGGCGGGGAGAGCGGCCCGCGTGGCCAAGCTCGGCCCGAGCCATTGCGGCCCCAGACGACGGTCCGGATCGTGACGCGCTATTGGAAGGCTTGCGACAGGGTCACAGTCTCCGATAGTGCGCCAGCGATCACTCACCCGCATCCCCAGGACTCAAGCAACCGCGGATGGGACAACATTCTTTGTTGACCGCCAACGGCAATTGTCCGTCCCTTCGGATAGCCCTCGGGATCGAGACCATCGTGCCGCTGATGTAACAGCGAGGGGAGTGGCAAGCCGGCCTCCCCATCTGTGCTGGCCCGGCGTCATGGACCGAAAAGCCGGCGCGCATATTCGGCATCTACGCGCAAGGGTGGTATTCAGGTTCGGGTTCCGATGCGACTTTCATCATCCTGGACCCCAACGGCGACACGCATGTCACGGCCCAGCGACCACACAGCAACGCCGGTATCCTGTTCGAAGGATGGCGCGTCAACGGTCGCCGTGGATGCACCATGATGCGACG